CTTCTCGTTGGCCCAGCTGGCCCGCGTTGCAGGTTATGGCCACTTTGCAGAGGTTTATAGCCAATTACAACCGTATAAATCAGAGCGCCCGTTGGGGGCTGTCTTTGAACATCGACTTCTGCGTCACTGTGCGCACGCTGGGAGCGCCCTGTTGGGAAATGCCGCGGAGTGAGGTCAGCTTTGGGTGGGCTTCAGAGCCTTGGCGTTGTCCTTTCCCCAAGAGGAGGCGCCCTTGTCCTAGCACCGGCTCATCTCAGACCCGCGCTTCCCCAAACCCTCTTCCTACAGAGCCTGCTAGGGGTGCAGTTGGCTAGGGTCACCTGCGGTCTTAGAAGACCTGGTGCGCGTCGGGGGAGAGTGGCGGTGGGGCCAGGGTCGGATACGGGGGTGGGGAGGGAAAGCCGCAGGAGCCCAGGCCGCGGGGTCAGCAGATGAGAGGCCGCTGTGAAGTCCTGCGCGGAGGTGGCAAGGCCGCGGTCGGCGCCGGGCGCCCTTGTGATGTTAATGTGGGGAGGCTTCGGCCCCGAAGCCCGACTCCTCTGCGGAGCGTCATCTGTCAAGGGGCGGAGGGGGGTGGGTGCGCGGCCCGGCCGGCTTTGATATACACCTTCCCAGCCCTGCCATTGTCTCTTTTAGGGCCCGGAAAGAGGGTGGTGACTTTCGCAGTCAATAATGAATTCTGACAAGTCCCTCTCATCCCTCCCCCTTTCAGCCCCCCTCCTTGGTTCCCAGGGGGTGCGGGGCACCTCCAAGGCTCTTGGGGCGCGGGCCTCAGAGCGCACCGGGTCCTGGTCACCGTGTTCCCCCGCCCGCCCCGGACACTGAAAGGGCAGCACCCGAACAAAGGCCACTCCGAGGCACCCCAAGGCGAGTATCGCTCCTGGGGTGTTCGGCTGGGGGAAATATCCTGTGCCCGGCTCCCCAGGCCTGACGTGTCCTTTTATTTCCTAAGCGGGCTCCAGTACCAGCCCTGTCTTATCTGTGGGTCTTATCTAGTCTGATTCTCTTTCCTCCTCTGAGCAAAGGGATAGTACCAAGGGCAGAAGCCCTGGGTTCCAGGCGGTAGGTAATGCGTGTGAAGGCTCCCACCACGTACGAGGCTCCGGGCGCCCGGGACGTGTTAGTTCCCTTCGCAGGCGCGGGGTCGGGCTCCCAGCGCCCATTCAAATGCGCCTGCCGGGCAGTGTTTATGTTAATGCGCCTGGTGGGAGGGGGATGAAAGCTGGCCGCCATTTGCTCAGTAGTGGTAATTCAAACAGAATGCGGTTGTTATTAAGGCATTGAAAGGGCTTTTCTTTGATAAGATCGCCTTGTCCTGCATTGTTTGTGGCTGTGTTCCCCTTTCAGCGGCTCGGGGGAGCTCCCTCTGATCAGGCCTGTATCTTCCCAGGGCGCTTTTGTTGTGGTTTGCAAAGGGTTTTACCTGAACAAAGTCGGCCTGTGGGGCATTAAACACCTCCAAAGGCAACTCCCAGACCCTTTAGATCTTCCTGTACGACTGGGCACGGGGTGATTGAACCTGTTCAGCTGCAAGACCACCCCGACCTAGGACCCAGTCAGAGAAAACAGCTCCTGGCCAGGGATGGGACGAGAGCCGACCCAGGACAGACTCAATGGAGACGCCAGGCTCGGGCCTGCTCCCACAGCAGCGACACTATTTGTCAAGGCCCTCCAGTAAAACAATCAACCCAAGATTTAATATGTTGACTCAATCCAATGATCATAGATCACTGGTCAGAATAGCTCTAGTGGGGTTTGCAGTAGGAATAAATGGAGGATTAAAAAAGAAAAACTACCCAAGGCTAGACCTGGTTCCAGCAGGTATATTATCCCCAGCTGGAGCAAGGATCCACCCGCCAGCATACATTAGTGCCAGAGCCCAACTCAGAATTTGTTTGGATGATCTGATATGTCTGCAAGATGATTCTGATGGCTTGAAGGAAACTGTCAGCTCCTGCACCCCTCTTTCCATTTGTAGTAAAACATACTAACCCCTCTTCCACAACACATAGAACCCCAACTGTTTCCAGATGGGATGCTGGTCTCTGGTAGGTCTGATAATCTGGATATTCCTAGAGTCTGGCCACTTCCCCTCCCCCCACCTTCCTTTGGTGCTAAATTTATTCTAGTACTATGTTTGGTTTTTCAAAATGGTAAGCTGGGCTGGGTTCTGCTATCTTCTCTGTATGTGAAGTTTTAGTTTTTCTTAATTTTTAAAAACCACTTAACCCCAAGGTTAGTTTAGTTGCCCTGCTAGCCTCACACACTCCCTTTCCCCCAGGATCCTCTGGGGTGGGGGTGTCTTGTCAGACTTGGCAGGAACCAGGCAAACCCTCGGCCTCCCAGGGCGGTGGAGGAAGAGAAATGGCCCCCGGGTTAGGGAGGTTTGTCATTACCTATGACTGATGAGCTGCTTTGTGGTTCTCAGCCCTAACTTCTCCTTCCTGCACAGTGAAAACCAGGACGAAAGACAAATACCGAGTGGTGTACACGGACCACCAGCGGCTGGAGCTGGAGAAGGAGTTTCACTACAGTCGCTACATCACCATTCGGAGGAAAGCGGAGCTCGCTGCCACACTGGGGCTCTCTGAGAGACAGGTGGGAATCACCCTGTTCTTGCAGGTCTGGCTGCTGCTTGGGGGAGACTTGGAGAGAGAATTAGCCTGGCCAAGTGTCCACTAAGTGTGGGGTAAAAGAGCATTTGCATTTTGAATGCTTTTCTTAAAGGTTTCCTTCTACCTCTGACTATATTTTCTGACGTGGTTGAATTTTTTTTTCTATTTTGAGAGCTCCTGAGAGGTGCAAGAAAAAGCCAAGAACATTACTTTAATCTTGAATTCCAGTTGGGCAATCAAGATCTATCAAAGACCAGTTTTTTTTGCGTGCCCAGAATTAGAAAAATAAATAAAGAGCCCAGTCTCTGCTCATAAAAACTAGAGGGATTGACTTATGAACATTCTCTATAGTCTACAAAGCAAAGCGAAAGAAAACAAAAAGCAGGCCAAACTCATAGCCAGGAAGTTCCACATTAAATCTCATTTTCAGCTCCAAGGTGAGGAATATTACAGTTCAGTTTAACTATGAAGGGCAAAGGTTGTCATATGAAGTATACCCAGCACCAGGCCTCCTTGTGCTTGTGTAGGGAAGGACTTGTAGCAAGTTTCTGTTTGGCTTGGTTCGGGGACTCTATACTTTACCAGTAAAGATTCCTTTGGAAAGAAACGTGGGGAGCAAGAAAGGAGGAGGACTCTTCTCACAGGCTGAGTTGGGTGTGGAAATGGCTCCAGGGTTGAACTGTTAGGGAGATATCCAATGAAACTTCTAGAAGAGTCTGGGGTTCTTTCATTGGAGAGGAAGATATTAGCGTCCGGTTCCTCTTTTCCTTCACATCTTCTTTTTTGCTCCACCTAGGTTAAAATTTGGTTTCAGAATCGCAGAGCAAAGGAAAGGAAAATCAACAAGAAGAAGTTACAGCAACAGCAGCAGCAGCAGCAGCCCCAGCCGCCTCCCCCACAGCCTCCCCAGCCACAGCCAGGACCTCTGAGAAGTGTCCCGGAGCCCTTGAGTCCTGTGTCTTCCCTCCAAGGCTCAGTGCCTGGCCCTGTCCCTGGGGTTCTGGGGCCGGCTGGGGGGGTGTTAAACCCCACTGTCACCCAGTGACCCCAGTGGTCTGCGGTGGCACCAGAGCAATTCCAGGCTGAGCCAGGAGGAGCATGGACTCCGCTAGAATCCTCAGAAGAGACCCCTTCCTTCCCACCTACAAACATAACCTGCAAGTCTAGCTCTCAGAGGAAAATTGGGGGCCAAGAGTAAAGACAAATGGGATTGGGGAGCCTCAAGGAAGACATCTTCCCGATTTTTTACTTTTTGCCCTCTGACATTTTGTCAGTGAGGATATAGGAAATGATCACTGAGGCTTCACTTGGTACTGACAGAGGTATTGCCTGGACTGGCTACGGTGACCAAGCCTTCAGTCCTTTCTGCCCCAGTGCTCTGCCTCCAAAATCTGTGGGCTGCCTCTCTGATTGGAGCTGAGGGGAGAGAGGGGACCAGCAACACTTGGAGCCAAGATGGCTATTTCCTGCTCAATGCCTTCCAAGGACCAGCTGGTCCTCCTGCCTCAGGGGCAGGCACAATTTAAACTGCAGAAGCCAGAGGCAGCTAAGATAGAAAGCTGGACTGACCAAAGACTGCAGAACCCCCAGGTGGTCTGTGTCTTTCTTCTCCTCCCTTCCCAGACCAGGAAAGGCTTAGCTGGTGCGTGTGAGTGTGTGGTGTATGTGTGTGGGGGTGGTGGTGGGGAGTGGACTCCAGGCATAACAGGGGAGGCCCCCGCCCAGGGCCTTGTTTAGAAAGCCTGTCACCAGAGCTTCTCTGGGCTGAATGTATGTCAGTGCTATAAATGCCAGAGCCAACCTGGACTTCCTGTCATTTTCACAATCTTGGGGCTGATGAAGAAGGGGAGTTTCTTTTTGTTGTTGTTGTTGCTGTTGTTTGGGTTGTTGGTCTGTGTAACATCCAAGTCAGCCTTTTAAAAGCCTTCTGGATCCATGGGGAGAGAAGTGATATGGTGAAGGGAAGGGGGCATCTGAACACAGCTGAAGTTTTCTAAAAAGGAAAAAAAAAAAGATAAATGAACTTTTCAGATTTCAGATTTTGTAATTGATTTTCTTTAGAATTGGATGAAATTATTATTTTCTAAGAAATGAAATATCTGTTGCAAGCCAAAAGTAAAAAAAAAAAAAAAATCAAGGAGAGGGTGGAGAAGGTTATCTGGGCAACCTCTCTTTACCCCGGAGCGTCAGAAGCCTGAGGGAGCAGGTACTGAGACCTTCCCTGCCCCCAAGCCTGAGTCCAGCCTCCAGAGTGGAATGTGTGGTTCTCCTGGGGGTGCCTTTGGGCAAAATGCACATCTGAATGGTCAGCTGCTTCCCAGCTGCTGCGGAATTATGGGCTGGGGGCGGGTAGGGCTGACAGGGCCTCCTCGGTCTCAGCATCTCATCAAATCCATACCCAGGCAATGCAAACACTAGGCACCCCACCCCCATCAGTGACCCGCTTCCTTCCTATGGATGCCCCACAACCCAGCGAATTTAAACATCACCATTTCCCAGGCAACATTTCCACGAATGAATCACTGGGCATTTCCTTAAGCTCTTTTCCCTATCCCGTGGTGTCCTTATCCCATCCCCATCCCACCCACCACAGACAAGATCCTTGCAGTGCTAGTTGCTTATATCTGGTTGATCCGCTGGGGTCCGGGTTTAGGTCCTGGAGGCAAGGAACTGGGCGCTCGACTGGGCCAGGGAAAGGAGAGCTTTCCCCCCATTTCAATCTCCACCGAGGGAAGAAGCGCCTCAAGCCTTGCTTTCAAAGGAAAGGCTGAGACAGAAGGAGACATAAATGCCCCCTGCAGCACCTCCCTAATTTCGTAGCCCTTCTGGGTGGCGCATTCCGCTCCAGAATTGAGAAAAGGGCTCTAGGGGCAGAGCCCGCGGGCGCCAGGCCTTGGAGTCGGAGACAGGGGGAGGGGGCTGTTACCGAACCGGAGACCGCGTGGGCGTCCGCTGGGCTACAGGTACCAGTTCAGGGCCAGGGCGATCCCCACTCTCCCCGAGTCTCCAGGCGCAGGCAGGGAAAGCAGCCCCGCGCCCTGACCGCGCCCACACGCCTGTCCTCCGCGACGGCAGCCGTTGCTAAGCGTTGCCGTGAAACGCCTGTCAATAAACCTTGTTTGGACAGTGGAGCAAGAGCACAAGGGTTGTTTGCTTAGTGGTTAGAGGTTCAAAAGTCGGCATTGTCCCGCTGCAAGCGATTACAAGTTCTTCCCCTTCCCGGGGCTCGGCCCCCTGGTGCGCGGGATCTGGGGGCCAGGAAGGGGCGCTCGCTGGGCGGCTCTCTGAAATGCAGGCCCGGGGCTCGCTGCTGTTAGGGCCTGCTGTTATGGCCTCCTGGCCCACGGAAAGGTCAGACCTGTAAGTTACGGCGCTTCAGACACAGTGTCACCTCCGGAGTGGGCCCCAGAGAACACGCAAGTGGCATGGCGCAAGTGGCCGGCGTAGCCTGAGTTTAGGGAAACTCGCCCCGAGCTGCCTGAGGTTATCTGAGACCAGGTTACCAAGTGGCTCCGAGAGCCTCCAGCACTGGGCAGGATGGGGTCCCGGAATCGCCCGGCAATCGAGGCTCCGAGTTATCGGCTCGGGCCGCTAGGGGGCGCGCGCGCTCTGGGAAGAGTTGAGGCGCGGGCCCGCTCCACGCGCTCGGTCTGGAGCCGGAAAGGGCCCCAGTTCCTACCCAATCAGAAGGTACCAGTTCCAGCATCTCGCCACACGGTGGCTGTTTCCAAACTGGGGCCCCAGAGGTCTCCCCACGAAGGCCAGGGGTCTGTTGAAAACTAACTTCAGGGGCTGGGGTGTAACTCCGTGGTAGAGCGTGCACTGAAGCAAGCGGGACATATAGGGTTCAATTTCCAGAGCCTACCAACAAGACAAAATCCAAAATTAAACAACAGAATGAAATTAGGCGCGGGAGATTCTTGGACCTGTTGACTGTTCGAGAAAGCAAATTTGAGGCAGAGACTATTTTCCATTCTAAAAGAATCCTTTTTTTGCATATGATTTTTAAAAAATTACAGTAATATGGCCACAGTATTGAAATATGGTAAGACTAGGAATTTAAAATAAAAATGGAAATAAAATGTACCAGTATTGTGGGACTCATGTTAAAAGAAAGAAAGAAAGAAAGAAAGAAGGAAGAAAGAAAAGATATGGAGGGAAAGCAGCCTAAGTTGTCCGTTCCCCCCTTCCCATGAACATTTCGTGGCTTTATATTATTCATTCAATAAAGTTAACAAGATGGATTGCTGATGAAAGTAAGCAAAGTTTCTCTTCTTTTTATTAATATTTATTGAGATGCTCACATTGGTAAATAAAAGTATCCATAAATAGCAATTTAAATATATAAACAGTAATATTCTTGCTGTTGTTACTCATAACCACTGGGGCTGCTGAGACAGGAAGCAATGAGCAGAAGTGAAAAAATCTCAGCTGCAGAACGGGAAGGCAGCCAGGCGTGGTGGCCACTTGCCTGTCCACCCAGTCACTGGGGAGGCTGAGGCAGGAAGATCACAGGTTGGAAGCCTGCCTCAGCAACTTAGCTAGACCCTGTCTCAAAAAATAAATAAAAGGGAGGGGTCTGTGGGTCTCTGGTGGCTTAGCGGTTAAATGCTCCCGGGTCCAATACCTGGTATGGAAAAAAAAAAAAAAAAAGAAAGAAAGAAAAAGAAAAAGTCATTCTCCCCTCCCCCCAGGGTTGCTCTTTGCCTCTCATTTTAGAGACAGGCTGCTATTTTACATCTTACTGACTTTGTGGAGGACTGACCTCCTATTGCTTCCTTAACTGTGACATGGAGATCAGATGTCAAAAGCATTTTTACAGCATACATAATACTAGACCCTAATAATGACTCAAACTTCTACTTTTTAAAAGATCATGAACCATCTGATGCAAAGTGTTCCAGTATCCTTATAAAGAACTTTTGAACAGGGTAATTTCTCAACTCCAGATAGAATAACCCTTTTCCCAGAATTTTCTCCAATGCATTTTGCTTTTCTTACTTTGTCAAAATACCCTCAAGTCTGTGGTCTACTTATTTCCACCACCTATGTCTGTGTACAGCCTTGGTGGCAAAGCACTAACTAACATTCCAAATGTGAAGACAATTTACTAATCTGTATAGCTTCCTTGTCCTTTCATCTATCAGAAGAAATGTTCCTAAACACATCTAGTTTCTAGGAGAATCAAAACCTCTAGTTTTGAGGGTGTTGTTGGGAACCCCTTATAACTGATTAGTACATTATTATTATTATTATTATTATTATTATTATTATGCCAGAAAGGAGCAGAGAGGCAGATCTCTAACTGATGGCATTAAAATTTTCTTAATTTTGAAACAATTTGCATCTCAACCTCTCCATATTAACAATGTATTCTTCCAGTAGCTATTCCAAGAGCCTCCTATCATTTTCATTCTCTAAGGCTGATTCATCCCTAGAAGTCATGTAAGGCAAACATTTGATTTTAGTCCTCATGATTTCCCTCTCATTCCTATTGTAGTAACATGTCTTGTATTAAATAATTTTTCTTTGGAGGATAAAGAAAACCCCCATTCCTGTAATCCCAGTGGCTCCTGGAGGCTAAGACAGGAGAATCATTGGTTCAGTGTCAGCCTTAGCAACAGCGAGGTACAAAGCAACCCAGAGAGACCCTGTCTCTAAATAAAATACAAAAATGGGTTGGGGACATGGCTCAGTGGTTGAGTGCATCAAGTTCAATCCCTAGTACCCTGCCCAAAAGAAAACTCCCATTCATATCTAAATTATGTAGATTAAGTATTTAAAACACTAAATTATCATCTTAAATTACACCTGGACTATATGAACTTCTGACCCCTTTAAATCTTATATTCCTTTTTCCTTTTTCCTCTTGCTCTTCTTCTTAAAGAGGGTGCACTATGATTTTAGGAAACCAAGCAGATTTTAGTGACAGCTGTGGAATTAGCTGAATGATACTTGCCAAAACAATCACTCAATGTCTTCTTTGTTACAAATCAGAGGAGATTTTATATCTATCTATCTATCTATCTATGCATGCACACACACATATATGTATATATACATATATGTTATATATAATACATATCAAAATGTGAAACATAAATACTATATATGGATTATATATAATATAATATATATTGATTATATATAAGATATATATCCTGATGTTCTTGCAAGTTATGAAATTAGATCTAAAGCAAAATCTCTCAAATTCTAACAAAAATAGGATTTGTTCATTCTAGAGGTTATACCAACATTTGCTTTAACATTCATCTTGGAGGAATCAGTCAAAGAAGGTAGGGGCAAGTGCATAGGTGACCTTCTGCTCCTATGTCTCTAGTATCCAAACATTACATTTGTTTTAACAACGGTGTTTCCAAACTGGAATTTGTCATTAACCATCATAGATATAGATAACATCAAGTAAGTTATCAAGCCCCAAAGTTAAATGACCAGTTTGTTCTTCTTTCTACCAGATCTTAGAGATCTAATCTATAAACCAAAATACTATCAATTTTGATACAAAGATTTCCCTGAGATGAAATGATTACTAAACCATCCTTTCACATGCACACATTTACTTAAAAATAATATTCAGGTCCCCTGTTTGTTTTATGTGTCTAACATTTCATTGGTAAATAGGAACTCTAAGCATTTCATGCATTGTTATATTTGAGAATTAACTTGTAGAAAAAAAAATCCTCTAATTATTAATGTGTTATCTCAGAATGTTCAGGGTTGACAGTCCATTATCATAACACTCTGTATCTGCAGTATGACAATAATAGGTTTTATACAAGTGGTAGTTGATAAATTCCTCTCCAACCTCAGGAAAGCAAACAATGAAAAACAATGTAGAAGCTAGTCATTGTAGTACAAACATACAATGGCATGTTGTGTGTGGGGCACTTAAATAATTTTAACTTATTGATGATTAGTAGAATCAGCAACAAGGATTAAGTACTCAGCCACAGATTAGGAGTTGGGAAAAGTGACCTGGGCAGGATCTGTCTTCTATTCATGAGAGGCAACTTAGT